ATTTCAATGAGAATTATCTTTGATTTCTCTTGATATGATTGTCCCCGTTAAAGCATAAATTATTTCATATTTTGATTATCTTAAATCACATACTTCAACTGTTCTTCCTGGGAAAAATCTCATGCCATTTTAAATCATACTTAACTAACTCACAAAAAAATATTATTGATCTCATTTAATTGAATGATTGATGTCTCTTCAATTTTTATAAATTGCATTTCAAACTTTACGTATCTAGAAATTCAACAAAACTCCATCAAGAGGCTGAAATACAATATAATGTTCATGGTAGAGAAGAAAATACGATACAGTGTTACACATATATATAATATTACTAATCACTTAAAATATTGTCCATGGTAGAGAAGGAAATCGTCCAAAAAAAAAAAAGAAAAGAAAAGAAACGTAGCACCCAGATTTCAAGTATTTAATTGAGCAAAATCCTGCAATTCACAGAAACTTTGGGACACGATAGTAATCTTGTCTTCAATTGGAGCTTCGAGTCTAAACCTTCTTGAGCAGGAAAATAAATGGAGATCGTCTTCAAAAAAACACTCTTCATAATATATCTTGAAAGCAGTCAACTGGTTTGTCTCTCCATACTCACACAGACTAAATTTCTGAAGATGTGACCCAAGACACTGAGCTGGAACATCAGCCATTGGGTCTATCACTTCTCTTCCAACCAGAAATAGGATCAAGCTAACAAACAAACATATATAAATATATATATATGTCAGTTAGAAAAACTAGTTAACTATATTGAAATTATTTGTGCCAACACAAATTATGTGTTAAAATCTAACAAACCTTGTGAATGACGACGAGAGTTCAAGTTTTGGGAAGCTTCGAAGAAATCCCACTATTTTATTAATGTCATCAGTAACCATATATGACAATTCCAGGTGAGTTAAATCGTAAAATGTTGGAATATCATGGATAGGTAACTGCATGTTCTGCATTAACAATAATTACTGCCAAGATTTTGGATATATCAATCAAAAGAAAATAAAAAAGTTGCAAAATAAATTATCAATTAGTACCTCAGTAAACCGAAGACGTGTCACATTACACAAAGCATCACACTTAAATAAGGGGGTATTTCTGCAGAGACCAATTGTTTAAGTTTCTGGATCTCTATCTTTGGCATCTTAGCTTTATTATGCATATGCAAAAATTTTAGTACCAGATCTTGTAGGAGAGCACTACTAGAAAGGAGTTTTGACATGCATCTAAGATTCAAAAATGTAACATTAACCAAATGCATGACTTTGAGTGAAGGCAAATTAATATAACGATGATTAGGTTTAATGGTGACATGAGTCAGCTTTAAAACTACAATGGAAGAACTATTGAAAATTCGGGTGGTCACATTAAAAAACGCAAAATCTGAACACAGCTCAAGATGAGGAACTTTGCGATTTATTGCAGCGTTAATCCAAATATTAATCTTGAGAGGGGCACTTGTAATTAATCTTGAGCACTTGAGACGAAACATGTTTATGGATTTCTCACAATCTCGTAAGATGAAGATTGTGTCTACAAATTTCATGAAGTAGTCAAGACTGGCGAATTCAAATTCGTCAAAGTCAAGGGTGAGAAGTGAGAAACAAAGTGGCCTCCATCTTTTGGACAAAAGGCTTGTGGCAACGGCCTCTTTTGTGGTAGAAAAGAGAGGATATGGTGAAGAAGACGATCTGGTAACTCGCTAATCCGATCGCTCATCATTGGCCTTTCACTTTCTTGTTTATGAAGTGATTTTGCGCCTTTGATTCTTCTGATATATTTGGATTCTGGAAGAACCCTGACTGTTGATCTGCTTTCTTTAACCCTCTGGCAACATCAAGGCTTTTCTTTTTTCGCTTTTGATTCTTGATAATTTCTTGGGAAAATTAGGAAGAATGACATAGAAAAAAATAATATTTATTAAGAAGGATCTTAAAAAAAACTATAATTATTTCTAAGGACCAAACACTAAAATATAAATTTAAAAAACTAAATTACCCTTAATTAAATTCCTACATTTTCTTCCATCAAACCTTTCATTGAATATTTTTCTATAATCTCCTTCATTCTTTATAATCCTTTTCTCTTCAATATTTGCAAAAAAATTTATTAAAATCAAATCAAAATAATTTAATTAATTCAAAATATCTTATATAACTAAACAAAATGAAATTATTTGTTTAGTTTTGTCTTTGTTTTTCTTTGAATTTCAATTGAAATTCTCTCTTTATACAAATATGTCTTCTTTTAAATTCTTTTGTTTTTAAATTATTTATTATATGTTTTATATTATAATATATTTAAATTTAAGAAATATATTTAAATTGATTTCAATAAATACCATTAGAATTTTTATAAATATTTTTCTTGATTTTAATTTTTTAAATAACAAAATAATCAAATAAATGACAATTTTCAGATTCATTAATATCTACAATTTTTCATTCTCTTAATTTTAATAATTTTTAATTATCCTAACAAGATCAAGAAAAAAACAAAAAATTACAGAAATTGATAAAAAATAAAAATAATATGAAAAAAAATTAAAAATCAATTTGTGCAACTGATTTCTCTGCTTCTTTGTTGATTTATGTGGAAGTGATAGATTTTTAATTTTAATCCAATATCATTAACATATGTATAGGAGCATACGTGAGATATGATTAGAAAAAACTTAGGAATTTAGTTAGGGATAGTTTAATATATTTAAATTTATATTTTAATATTTAGTCCTTCTAGATAATTGTGATTTTTAAAATCCTCTTCAATAAATATTATTTTATCTATTTCCTTCTCATTAATTCTCCCTAATTTCTTCTTAGAACTGGTGGAGGCACTGAGCGCTGGAGAGAAGCCAATAAAAAAATAGATCGAGAATTGAATGAACTGTACATAATCTCTAACACAAATAATCTCGAAACATATACAACATATATATCTTTCCGTTATGATAAAGATTTTTAGTCTCATCAATTTCAGTTTGACAAAATATAGTCTTTGCTCCTCATAATTTTGGTTAACTTGGGGTCAATGTCACTGCAATTTATTTCTCAAATAATTAATTTTTAAAATTATAACAATGACGTTTGATCACAATAGAGATTTTGCCCAACGTTGATAAAATATCTATATTTTTCTTGGCTAAATTGGATTTTTTAAAATTCTATTTGAGGAAACATATAAGGAATCTTCATAAATTACCATCTATATATGAGGGTCCAAAAAATCATATTTGATTTTTTTTTTTCAAATTTTTGATAAGGACGCCTTTATTTAAAGAATTTTCACGGTTTTCACAATTCACACAAGCTTCATTTAATATTTTTCTTTGCCAACCACAAGCTTCATTTATATATACCATATTGCTTGATTAATATATTTTTCCATAATATTGCTTGATTGAGATTTATAATCATACTAACTTTTTGATGTATTTCTGAGTATCATCCAGTCACTTTAGATTTGAAATTAATCCTTATCGCGTTGAGAGCGTTAAGGTTAATACCTTTCCAACAAGTGCGCTTCCTGAGAATCATACTAATTTATTTATTATCATGAAGTTGAATCCTTTTTATGGAAACAAAACAAACGTATAATCTCCCACAGTAGAGCGTTTCTTTTTCTTCTTTTTTTTTTTGGGTCAAACATTTGAGCGTTTCAAAGTTACCATCATTTAAGGGAAAGATAAAGAATCCAGTGAATGGCAGCCAATTCCTAGAAAGGAAACAACCGCATATGGTAGGTTTTTTAAAGATCTATTTGTCAAAGGGTCTATATGTAATCTCTAATTCTCGCTGCTTTTTTTTTAATAACTCACCAACGTACAGGATGGAACCCATTCCCTCACATTGAAGAAAGTCTTAAGGGTGGTTTTTGGTGACTGTAATTACAATTATAGTTTATGAATATAAATTTGACTCATTCAATTAAATGAACAAAATAAATAAGACTGATTTAAATATCTGGCCCCAAAAAGTAGAACTGATTATTCATTACTTGTCTACACCCACCATATTATTTTTGAAAAAGCACATATAATAATATTTGGATATTGAAAATAAAGTATTTTAGATTGAAGAAAGCTCAATTCTAATAAAATTCACAATATTTTCTCCGTCATAGAAGCCACTATGTTTTTTTCAGACCTTCTTATATCTGAGTTTTTCAGTTTCATGCTTAAAATTATTTTGACCATTCACCCACTTTTTTAACAGGTTCTATTTTCTGTTGCTTATCCAAGAGAAGAGAGAAATTAGGGATTTAGTTTCTCCCTCCATTTTCAATCTTAATAATTAGATTAAAATTTAAGCAGTTCAAGTTTAATATAAAACATTTTTAAATATTTTTTATGGCGATTTTGAATGTAGAAGTTTTTCAACTTGAAAAGACTAACTTGGCCGCTACTTAAACAGAACTTCTTAGCAATTTAAAACAAAAAAATTGATTGTTGAGACTTGAGACGTATGTTATCATAAATATTGTTACTGTTATTAACAATTAGCTTTACGAAATTTAGTATTGTTATCATAAAAACCCTCAAGATTTAATTATTACCTCCTCGTAATCCATGGATTGTTCTATTAGGAGTGATTATATATGTATTTTAACAAGTATGCGCAATGACATTGCCTCCTTGCATGGCATAAAATTAAAGTCCCTTGAAAGTGGGAGGTTGTAGTTTTAATCCCGCATTTGCACTTATAATCTCATGCTATTAGTACTTATCATAAAGAGTGTGAGAATCACCTGAAAAAGAATATAAATTAAACATGCTTGATTTCAACAATACTCCACTAAATTTCAACCCCCCCCCCCCAAAAAAAAAAGAAGAGAAAAACAGTAATAGCAAATCAGTTAAGATCATCTCTGGACAACTTTAGTGGAACTCAGAGGCTCCAGGAAATGGTGAGAATCTTTCGAACATTCTGTTATTCTTGTTTGTACGATAGAAGCTGGAAATGAAGATATTCCTCATTGACAAATTCAAACTCATCTCAAGCCCTCGAATCTACCAAGTCTCTGAATTCCTTCAAGTGTGATGAGACACATGGAGGAACTTCCAATATTGGTTCCATCGACCTTCCTTTCCTATGAGGATGAGCAAAAATCTGACCAAGGATATGAAAGAAATCAATGCTACACACATATCATTCAAGTTGAAATTAAGAAATTAACTAACCTGATTCATCACAGGAACTTCATGTTTGGGGCAGCTTCTTAGGCCTTTCACTACCCAATTCAAGTCTTCATCATAAAGACGTGAAAATCCTATGCGAGCTAAATTCTCAAACCTTGGAAAATCATCATGGACAGATGATATTTTATCCTACATATGAATGGAGACTAAACTGAATTAATTTGGTAATAGCATTGTATTTAGAATGAAAAAAAAAAAGACAATATAATATAGATCAGCATCATTAATTCATACCGTATTTAACCGAAGAAAAGTCACATTGGAAAATGCTTTCCACTTAATTAGATTGAAAGGAACAGCTGCTGAAACCAAATGTTGAAGCTTTTCAATATCTGATGGGTGTACATCCATGAATGTATCTAAATCTAAATCTTATACCAAATCTTGCAGAAGAGGACATCTCGAAAGGAGATTTGCCAAACTTTCAAGATCTGGAAATATAGCCTCCGCCAAATGCATGACTTTAAGCAAAAGGCAAATTAACAGAATAAAAAGTGCTCAATCTAACCCCACCAACTTTAAAGCCCTAATGGTACCACAGCTAAAAATTCTAGGGGACACTTTTATGTAGAAACTACTGCAGCATAGCTCAAGATGCTCAACTTTTGGATGAATAAGTGTGTTAATCAAAGATTAATCCTAGCGATCCTTTAGCTATCATACCGATACCTAGGCCAATAATTTCGAAGCCGAAAGTTTTCTATGGGTTTCGAATCTGCCATGTAGAGGACTGTCTACAAAACAAAGAAATTGTCAAGACTATGGAATGATGCATCATCAAAGTCAAAAGTGTTCATTGAAAGCCAAAGGGGCTTCCATCTCTTAGACAAAAGGCTTGTGGCAACAACGAACTTCCTTGGTTGGAGAAAAGAGGG